CTGGAATGCTCCTTGGAGTCAAGGATTCTGAAGCTTCGTCGGACATACTTTGGGCATGTTGCAAGGAGGAACTGGTCCTTGGAGAGGGGCATCATGTTTGACAGAGTAGAGGGATGGCGAAGGAGAGGAAGACCGATGAGATTGATCGATTCTGTGAATGGAGTGGTGGGAATGAGTGTGTCTGAGACGGTGAGGTTGGCACAGGAGAGAATGACATTTAGAGCTCTTGTACATAGGGTCGCTATGGGTCGCAGGCAACTCGAAGGCACATAACAACAACAACAGCAAACTGCCGGAGAGGAAGACCCTGGAGGAGATGGATTGATATGATGGCTGTGGCAATGAGGTAAGATGTGTCAGAGACAGTGAGACTGGGTATTGTTCAGATAAGATAATACTCAGGGCTATTGTTCCTAGAGTGGCCATGAGTCATAGCACAGAACAACAACAACTGTGACAGAAAGGTATTCCTGATTCAGGCCATGGTCTTTTATTACTTCCCTTGCATCTGAAAGTTGGTTATGAAATAAGGATGAGAGAAGAATTGATGCCTTTCAGCTGTAATGTTGGAAAAGAATATTGGACTGCCAAAAGAGCAAACCAATATGTCTCAGAGATAGTGTAACCAGAGTGCTTCTTGGTGGCATAAATGGCACATACTTTGTCCCACATACTTTGGGTATGTTGTTGGGAAGGCTTGTTCTATGGAAAGGGACATTATGCTTGGAAAGGTGGAGAGTCGTTGAAAAAGAGGAAGATTCCCGGGGAGATAGATTGACCTCGGGACTGCTGCAATGGGCTCTAGGATGCTGGACGTGATGAAGATGGCGCAGGATAGAACAGGCTCAGATCTGTCGTTCATAAGGCACCCACAGCATCCACTGTGAGAGTAAAGGAACTAAGACATACAACATGATAAGACCACTTTCGACCAGTACCTGCAAAGAGTAAAATAAAAATGTAAAAAACAAAATACTCAGGAGATTATTTTGATTATGGGATATGAATCACCATCAACTATTTATTTTGCTACTTCTAATCCGCCTCAATTTATTGCTTCCCTTTCATAATCAGGTCCTTCTTTCCCTTCCTGAAGTCGTTTTATACTCCTGCTATCATTCCGTTTATTTCCTGTCTTTTATTTCATATTTGTTTTGTTTATGTCTTTGGTTTGTTTGGTTGGTTTCTTTCTTTCTTTGTTTTCACACTTGTCCTCACTTTTCACTTCTGTTCATCCCTTTCTTTATTCCATTATCATTTGGCTTCAGGGTTCTTTAACTGTCAAATGCATCAAGACCTCCTAATGATCAAATCAAGTAAACATTTTTGCTTCTTGGCTTTTCCATAGTGTTTTACCCTAGAAAGAATCTCTTCCTCTCTCCTGAACTCCCTTAGCTTCCAAAGTCTCTCCAGGGCTGCTGCTTCCAAGTCCCTGTTCCCCCTACACGTTGTTATTCTCATCCCCAGGGCTTTGTCTTAACTTTGTTATTTCCTGCAGGTAAGTTCAAACACATTCATAGCTCCAGTTTTTAACCTAAATTCATATTTAAACCTCGTCAGTATTCTGAGCTAATTTGCTGAAGCTTTTAGTTCCTCCAGGCACCTGTAACTCAGATTCCTCCTCTCACATTCACTCGCTGCTGTCAAGTTGGTTCTGACCAAAGAGACTCATTATCAGGTTTCTAAGGCTGTAAATTGCAATGGTCGACGTGTGCCCATCTTTCTCCTACAAAGCAACTGGTGGAGTCAAACTGAGGGAGACTCGTGGCCTTTAGAGTTAACAGTGCAGCTTCCTCGAGACTGTTGCACTACGTCTAACTCCTGGTCTCAGCTTGGCGCAGTTCTCTTATTCTTGCCTAATGTGGAGACTTCGGTGCAGTTGTCAAAACTAGGAAATCTCAATTTTTTTTTCTGTAATCCTTAGGTTTTTGGGTTTTTTGGTTGGCTGGGTTTTTTTTTTTTTCATTTTTCTCACTGTTGCTGTTATTGAGAGCTATCAAGTTAATGTCAACTCATACTGACAGAAATCTAATTGTAAGTCTTACCTTTGCATCTAAATTCTGCCCCCTCCTACCTTTCACTGCTTCTCCATCCTGGACTCTTGGGTTTTTTTCTGTCTCTCGTACACCAAGGTCTTGCTACAAACCATCTTCGATATGCTGCCTAAGACTGCTTCCTCAGCTCACACACCATTGCTCCATGACCGTGTCATCACTTAGAGTCCTAGCGGTAGCGCTTGCCTGGCATGATCTGGTTCTTGCTTGTCCTCAGTCTCCTGCCTGAGCCCCTGCCATTCCTTGTCTCTTCATATTCTGATACCCAACTCAAATAGCACTTCCTCTAGAAAGCCTTTCCTCAAAGGTAATGTTACTATCACACAGCCACTGTGTGTGCATATAAATATATATTTAAATTACCAGGCCCCTTTTAATGGGCATTCATGGTATTTATTTATTTTATTTGTTATTTTTTTTTGCATGAAATACTTTTATTCATATGCATTATATTTCACACAATCCTTCCTTCACATTGTATTTCATATAATTCCCACACATTGTGGCTTGTAGTTGTTGTTGTTGTTATTTACCATCAGGTCGGAACCTGACCCTCGTGGGTTTTCAGAGGCAGTTAATCGCATCTGGAGGCCTCAGACTGCATGCCTTTGGGATTGCAGCACTTCTTGCTACTAGGCCACCAGAGCTCCCTATTGTGTCTAATAGAATTAATATATAACGACATATTATGTATTAAGTATGTTGTTGCTATGTACCATAAAGTCAGAACCAAGCCATAGCTGACCCTCCAGCAGGTTTTCAGCACGG